TCTCCTCTAGAGCAGTGATGTTTTGGGGCTGTCGCTGGGCAACACGGACTTTCAACTCCCTCCAAAGATTTTCTATGGGGTTGAGATCTGGAGACTGGCTAGGCCACTCCAGGACCTTGAAATGCTTCTTACGAAGCCACTCCTTCGTTGCCCGGGCGGTGTGTTTGGGATCATTGTCATGCTGAAAGACCCAGCCACGTTTCATCTTCAATGCTGATTTTTGCTGATGGAAGGAGGTTGTCACTCAAAATCTTACGATACATGGCCCCATTCATTCTTTCCTTTACACGGATCAGTCGTCCTGGTCCCTTTGCAGAAAAACAGCCCCAAAGCATGATGTTTCCACCCCCATGTTTCACAGTAGGTATGGTGTTCTTTGGATGCAACTCAGCATTTTTTCTCCTCAAAACACGTCTAGTTGAGCAGCAAAGGGAATCCCCTGGGTGGAAGATAAGTGAACCGGAGGAGAGAGACGGGGAGGGGGCGAATGAAGGGAAGGAATGATTGGACAGAAGATGGAAGATATCCAAGTAGATTTGAACAAAACCACTACTGTGAAACAGCAGCATGCGGGACTGTTATTGTGAAGGAGACAATCATAAAGGGCCCAGCAGGGGAGAGAATGGAAGCAGGACAGCTATAAAGAGTGAGAGAAAGAAATCAAAAACGAGAGGGATAAATCAAGAGAGGCGATGAAGAGAAAGATCCAAACCCGCCGACTGAGCAGTGTGGTGTAGCGTTCAGGATCCTAAAGGGCTTCTCCTCCTCATTACAGGTATGTTATAGAGTAACTCCAGTCCCTCTGGGTATACAAAACATACTCCGCATAATGGACCGCATCTTTAGGCATTCATTAATTCACTTTGTAAAAGGAATGGGCGAGGATGAGGGGGAAAAGAGATCACATTTATTTGCCTAGGAAAAAGGAGTGTGTGCTGGAAAGGGGGACAACAAAGAGCTTGTCTGAGCGACTGTTCTCCTGCACACTACAGCTTCAGAGTTGCAGGCCGACCCATCTACAATTCTAATCAGCTGCTTGACGAAGATCTTGGTATACCACACGGGAAAGGGGGGGGAAAGAAAGCTCCCTGTCGTGCCTGATATTCAGTGTGACAAGTGAGAGGAGAGAAAGCAGAGATGGAGATGGATGTGGAGATAGTGGAAGTGAAGAATGCTGACATTTGAAGAAGTGTAGTGAGGAAATGTTGATGACGAATAGATTAAAAACATCAACCCAATCAATAATTTACAATATTAATATAACGCTGGCTTGTCGTATGACGGGAGGCACATATATGCTACGTCCAGAGTCACTCATACTGTACGTCCTCTACTCTCAGGCTTGTCAAACAGATATGTTTGAATTTTAATGTAAAGGGTTTTAATGTAAAGGGTTGCTATACTCCTTTTTTCAAGTGGGGAGGTTTGCTGAACCTTTTTCAATTCTCCCTACATTATAACCAGGATATGGAATCTATCTGCCATAAAGAGACAATTTCTCTTCTTTACTTTAATCACTAGATGGGACGAGGAAAAGAGCTTTCTCTCACTGCCACTTTACTGCCAAATCTTGCCTCTAGTGCCTCAGTATTCTGTCGTATTCATTGTGCCAAAATTGGACTCTTTCTAATATGAGGGCTACAAAATATGCATCTTAAAAAGTAACTGCTATAACACTTTGTTAGTAACACTTAATGCTAATTTTCAGTTTCGTACTAAGGCTTTCAGTCTCTACTAGTTTTTTTAAGATTATGTTTTTGGACACCAGTGGCTTTTTTAAAGAGAGAGAGAGTTGAAAGAGGGAGACAGAGGGGATTAACCGCGTAAATTATAACCGATCGGATTTGATTATTAAAGGGGCCCTATTATGCTCACTTACAGGGCTCATATCTGTATGTAGTGTCTCTACTGGGACATGTCTCCATGCTTAAATGTTCAAAAAGCTCTTTATTTTTCTCATACTGCCTGTGCTGCAGCATCTCTTTTCACCCTCTGTCTGAAACCAGAGCCCAGTCTGCTCTGATTGGTTAGCTGGCTGGCTATGTTGTGATTGGTCAACTCCCGCCTCTGGAGGAAACTTTGGGATTTTAGCCTTGAGGAATGAGTTGAGATCATGGATGTATAATAAGAACTGGATACAGCGTGGAAGGCGGGGCCTCATTCATTCCTATGAGAGTTGCTCATTAGCGCATGATGATAAAATGGCCCAACTTTTGTGAGAGCGAAACGTCACAGATTACCCAGCATGCCTGAGAAGTACCCGTATGAGCGCTCATAGCGCATTCGCAACTTTAACAATGCCCCCCAAAATGCTCGTTCACATCAAGCACGCCAATTTGCATACACGTAACAGCACCGCACGTTCATGACAGCATGGTACTGGATTGTTATTATGATGGATTTGATATTAACGAGGCGGCAGTTAGCAGCTAGCTAGTAATTATGCTAATTTACACATCAATCGTTATGTACTTTTATATTACGCTGTAACAGGATCTAGTGATATCCAAGCAACAGAGCTTCATTTAGCATGAAAGAATTATTGCACTGTATGTACAGTGGGGCAAAAAAGTATTTAGTCAGCCACCAATTGTGCAAGTTCTCCCACTTAAAAAGATGAGAGAGGCCTGTAATTGGCATCCTAGGTATACCTCAACTATGAGAGACAAAATGAGAAAAAAAAATCCAGAAACTCACATTGTCTGATTTTTAAAGAATTTATTTGCAAATTATGGTGGAAAATAAGTATTTGGTCAATAACAAAAGTTCATCTCAATACTTTGTTATATACCCTTTGTTGGCAATGACAGAGGTCAAACATTTTCTGTAAGTCTTCACAAGGTTTTCACACACTGTTGCTGGTATTTTGGCCCATTCCTCCATGCAGATCTCCTCTAGAGCAGTGATGTTTTGGGCTGTCGCTGGGCAACACGGACTTTCAACTCCCTCCAAAGATTTTCTATGGGGTTGAGATCTGGAGACTGGCTAGGCCACTCCAGGACCTTGAAATGCTTCTTACGAAGCCACTCCTTCGTTGCCCGGGCGGTGTGTTTGGGATCATTGTCATGCTGAAAGACCCAGCCACGTTTCATCTTCAATGCTGATTTTTGCTGATGGAAGGAGGTTGTCACTCAAAATCTCACGATACATGGCCCCATTCATTCTTTCCTTTACACGGATCAGTCGTCCTGGTCCCTTTGCAGAAAAACAGCCCCAAAGCATGATGTTTCCACCCCCATGTTTCACAGTAGGTATGGTGTTCTTTGGATGCAACTCAGCATTCTTTCTCCTCCAAACACGCCTAGTTGAGTTTTTAACAAAAAGTTCTATTTGGGTTTCATCAGACCATATGACATTCTCCCAATCCTCTTCTGGATCATCTAAATGCTCTCTAGCAAACTTCAGACGGGCCTGGACATGTACTGGCTTAAGCAGGGGGACACGTCTGGCACTGCAGGATTTGAGTCCCTGGCGGCGTAGTGTGTTACTGATGGTAGCCTTTGTTACTTTGGTCCCAGCTCTCTGCAGGTCATTGACTAGGTCCCCCCGTGTGGTTCTGGGATTTTTGCTCACCGTTCTTGTGATCCTTTTGACCCCACGGGGTGAGATCTTGCGTGGAGCCCCAGATCGAGGGAGATTATCAATGGTCTTGTACGTCTTCCATTTTCTAATAATTGCTCCCACAGTTGATTTCTTCACACCAAGCTGCTTACCTATTGCAGATTCAGTCTTCCCAGCCTGGTGCAGGTCTACAATTGTATTTCTGGTGTCCTTTGACAGCTCTTTGGTCTTGGCCATAGTGGAGTTTGGAGTGTGACTGTTTGAGGTTGTGGACAGGTGTCTTTTATACTGATAACGAGTTCAAACCGGTGCCATTAATACAGTGTTATGGAAATCTGAGACCCAATACTGTGGAGAGTACAAGTCAGAGTGATCAAACAAATAAATGGTGAAACAGACAGAGTTGTCTTTCTGGTTATTTATTTGAAGCTTCAAATACAAAAACGCAATACAAAGTCACAGGTCTCACAGAGTATAGGATAGTCTGCAGGAGTGTGCGCAGTACAATATAGTAGCAAAGCTTATATACAAGAAAGGGCGGGAAGCTCAGAAATCTGTCTTCACACGGTCTCATATTGTTATTAGACACCTGTCCTTGAGCTGTAGATAACGGTTCTCAGAATAGGGAAGTTCTTGTGTGACTTTGTGTGAGTCTCAACCTAGTCTGCCAAATCAGCTCTGTGGCCTTGAAGCGCTTGGGAATAAAAACCCACATTAGAGTATGAGAAGAAAACAGCACATCTCACGAAATGATATAGGTGTTTTACAATGATTTGAGAAGCATTTGGTTTAAGCATATAAGGATATAATAAAAATGTCCACTACAACAGTTAACAAGTGGAGGACAGAGGAGGCTCTTAAAGAAGAAGTTACAGGTCTGTGAGAGCCAGCAATCTTGTTTGTTTGGAGGTGACCAAATACTTATTTTACCGAGGAATTGACCAATTCATTCATTAAAATCCTACAATGTGATTTCCTAGATTCTTTCTCCCCATTCTGTCTCTCATAGTTGAAGTGTACCTAGGATGAAAATTACAGGCCTCTCTCATCTTTTTAAGTGGGAGAACTTGCACAATTGGTGGCTGACTAAATACTTTTTTGCCCCACTGTATATACATTTTATGTTGCCAGTTTATTTATAAGCTTGTCTTGTCTAGTTGTCTGTCTTGTACACATTGACATAGTGCACACAAGAGATGATTGTGTTACATGAAATATAACGTGAATGTGAGGAACATTTAAGAACGATTTTTGTGAATTTGATTTCTTTCAGCCACAGCGAAACTCCTCGTGTAAGAAAAGGATATTTAACTGCTCTGAGTTTGACCCGCTTGATGCATCTTGATGACCCTAAGGCAGATTAGCATCACCATCACTGTGTTGGACATGAAGCACACGCTGAGCAACATGTCTGACTCTGTCATCTCTGTCTTCCTCAGTGCTCAGCGGACTCTGCTCCAACGACTGTCCAGAAGATGTCAAGGTAAGAAATCTTACATTTGTACAGCTTTAAAAAGTATATTGTTTCTTATCTTCGAGTGTCTCCCAGATTGTAATGTCTTGTACCCAATGCACTTATCTTCCCTTGCAAACATCTTTATTTTACTGACTGTAGTCAGCATTTCCTTTTTTAGCAGACAGAGAGCTGGATTATCCTGCTGGCCAAACTTCATGTCTATAGGGAGGATCAACTTTATATTCAGAAAATTAGGGAAGGGGATTTGAAAGGGAGATGTGTTTTTGAGCTCTAAGACAGTATAAGCTCCTTTTTATCTATTTAAGTTGCACATGTTTTACTGCAGCCAGAAAAAATGGAAAGAAAAAATACTAGAGGGGTTTCTAAAATAAATAAGTACATGATTTCCACCTGTCCATACTTTTAACAACTGTGCAAACCGACTGGGTGGGAAGAGAGGAATGTGCAGAGGTAGACAAATAAAAAACTCACAAAACGAACCAATATACGGGCAGTACAGGGGCCGTTTTTGGCATTTTTCAATATATCATTGTGAGATTTATGAACACAAGTTTAAACAATTGCCATGTGGGGCTGTTCTTGAAATCCTGCCCTTGTTAAATATATGTATTGTTTGTTGCTTGTTGTTGTTCAGGTGCTGAGACTGGGTTACTGCTCATAACTTTATTATATTGGGTTTCTGTTCGTAGTCGAATGCTCCGATTCTGGATCATGTATGCATAACAAGGCCACACACTGCTTATTTGAGATACATACACATTTCAAAAGTTAACTTCTGACTTTCACATCAGTCCCAGCTTGGTCTCAAACTCAGTTTCCATCCATCCATCTTCTCCCGCTTATCCGTGGTCGGGTCGCGGGGGTAGCAGTTCCAGCAGAGAGCCCCAAACTTTATTTTCCCTGACCACATCAACCAGCTCTGACTGGGGGATCCCAAGGCGCTCCCAGGCCAGCGAAGAGATATAATCCCTCCACCTGGTTCTAGGTCTACCCCTTGGTCTCTTCCCAGCTGGATGTGCCTGGAACACCTCCCTAGGGAGGCGCCCAGGTGGCATCCTTACTAGGTGCCCGAACCACCTCAACTGGCTCCTTTCGACGCGAAGGAGGAGTGGCTCAACTCTGAGTCCCTCCCGGATGACCGAACTTCTCACCTTATCCCTAAGGGAGACACCAGCCACCCTGCGGAGAAAACCCATCTCGGCCACTTGTATCCGCGATCTCGTTCTTTCGGTCATGACCCATCCTTCATGACCATAGGTGAGGGTAGGAACGAAAATGGCCCGGTAGACAGAGAGCTTTGCCTTCTGGCTCAGCTCCCTTTTCGTCACAACGGTGCGGTAAAGCGACTGCAGTACCGCTCCCGCTGCCCCGATTCTCCGGCCCATCTCACGCTCCAGTTTCAAACTCAGTTTCTGACTCAAAAAGGTGTTCCAATAACAAGAAAACAGCATCAATACATCAATAAAAACAATGATTCAAATACAACAAAACAAACCCAAACAAACTAGATGCCTCCTCTAGAAGAAATGGTCTAATGTTAAATCCCCACAATAAAAACTTGAACAAAAATTAAATATCCATGAATATAGATGGGGACCTGTTGCTTCAGATTCAGGTAAAAGATGCAGGGGAATCAAGGATGGCCATGTTGATTAATTTATTTGATGCCAAATCAATTAATGGGAGTATATTAAGCACGAGTTAACATTTCATAGCACAGCAGCAGAAGTATTTTTATCGTACATCTCAACAATCACAAAGGAAATAGTAGAAAGAAAAATGCAATTAGAGTTACAAAGCATTCTCCCTGGAATGTGCCCTTGCATTTATTTGATTGGACAACACAAATAAAAGCTGGAAGAACTGTTTGAGTGGCAAGTTTTCTACATCTCACAATCTCTGTTAGCTCTCTTTATATTCTAATAAACACGCCAAACAAACTGACAAACTTGTTTTCCTTATTAAACAGAAAAATACCACTTTACACCTTCGGAAGTTAGGTTTCTCTCACCCAACCAAGAAAAGCTTAAATGCCATAAATCATTCAATTAAACTGAAAAAAAAGATATCACCAAAAACGTTGCACCGTTTAAACTATTACAAACTTGGGACTGGTCCAGATAAAGACTTAATTCACTGGGAAAATATGCTGTCTCTTCATGCTCTTTATCTCATTGCCTCTATCTGCATGATGCAACAGCTTGTTCCCGCTTGTCAGAGGCAGACCATTACTAAGCTTCATAAAATGTCAAACAACACCCAAAAAAAACACAACAGGGAAGTACTCAGACAATCACTAATCTACTCGTCCAAACGCCCAATTCTAACTATTCTAAAATCGCTAGAGATGGATGGATGACCCATACATGACACACGGCTTGGGGCTGCAAGGTTTTGCATGGAAAACATACCGTTAGCTAAAACTAAAATGCTATTTTGGAGTCAAATGAAGCCATCTCTTTTTGGAGCCATTACCTTTAAGCTCCTTTATTCCTCCCAAACATCTCTTCTGTCAGATGATCATGTGTACTGTAGGTGGAGAAATCTGACAAATGCAGCAGCCAGTAGCATCTCTCCTTATATAACCTTTCACCAGTGGAAAGCTTCGACATCAACAAGAGGCGGCTGGTATTAGACTTGTTTTGGTTTCTGTCTGTCTACTCTTCCACCCGCTTGTTGTCTAACTGAAAGGTATGATGAATGCAGTAGACGCTGGAAGCTCGCGGCTGTTTCTCCTCCTCTCCCATCCATCACCCCCCTCTATCTTTTCATTTCACTTCTTAGTCACACCTCTCTTCCTCTTCAGCTTTGTTTGAGCACACTACTCTGTGGCATTTACATCCCTCTCTCTGTTTCTTTTTCTGACCTCATTTCTATTCCTTCCTCACCCGGCCGCCGAGTGTCACAGCAGAAATGGCCTAGTCTCTCTTTGCAGTGCGTGCGTAACAAGCCGGGTTTAGCTGATGTAAAGTGAAGCATGGCTCTACAGATCTCTTCATTAGTCGTCATAATAAAGAGATAAGACAAGCCCTCTGCAAACAGCTGTCATTAATGCTATGCAATTAGAACCAGCTGGGTCAGACATGTTCCATGTCACCTAGTGAAATTAAACAAAAACTGCTCAAGGTTACTTTGGTAAAAAGACGCTAACATGCTCCCTTTCTGTATTCCTCTCTTCCACCCCTCCCTGTTTGTTTCCCCCTGTCCTCTTTCACCCTCTCTGATAGACAGCTCGTGCGAAATAAATCTGTCAAAATGTCAAAAGAATCTTTGTTTTTATTCATGTTTGCCTGTGTGTTTTTGCAGCCTTATGGTGTTAACCAGCCCGGTCCCTACGTCAGTTACACCACAACGGACTCCAACGGCAACTTGAAAAATGCCTCAGGTAACAACTATCTTTTTCTTTTTTTGTGCATTTTAAGATTGGTTACAGGGCATACATAACAAAATGAGATACATTAAAAAGTCAAATACTCAAATACAAAATAAGTAACGTCCACAAATCAGAAAAAGAAAACCTGAGAAACATAAAAATAACGACTTTCTAATATTATTTGTAAGATATCTTTCCACGGGGAGCTTTCGCTTCTTATGTCAAACGACCCACTTCAGCGACAGAATAGCCAAAGAAGCGTTTATCTTTCTCAGAAAATGTCACTGCCTGAGCTTTTGTATGGCCACGTCAGATGTATTAATAACTTGACCTCCTAACAATGACAGCTGTCCTTAGTCTGGCTCAACACCACAGAGTTTGTTTGGGAGCATTTTTCACAAAAACAGAGAATGAGGAGTGGTGTATTGATCTTATATGCTTGGTTTCTTTTTCTATATATATGAGAAAATAAACTCTGCTCGAAGAGAAAGGCTGAGGCATAAAGGGCAGCTAAATCAAAGGCACAAAGACTGAACAAAGGATACATCAGATATATGGCTGTAATGTTTGATCCATGACACTTCTGGATCGTGAATGCTATGTTTAAACGTACTCTTTCCACATGTTATATCCCTGTGTAAATCAAGGTTTAGAATACATTTATACTTGTATAATTATGAAATACATTTAAATGTTCCTTTTTTACCCAAAAATATTCAACTGTTGCTTGTCCGGATTCATTTTCATCCAAGTCTTCCAATATTATCAATCAAATGCATCAGTTCTGCTTTGGGATACTGTTTAGAGCGTTGCAGAAAAAACTTTAAAACCAAAACCTTTTCCATGTATCATTCTAGAAATAATTAGTGTCTTTGTAACAATTTGAAAATGCCACACAACACTCGTAGTTTGCTGTGTTCTTTCAACAAAGTTCACGAGGGACATTGCTGATTGTGTATGGCGCAGTGGACTAGTGCGTTGGTGTTCGGATCAGGGGAGCACAGGTTCAAACCCCACTGCAGTCAGCATGTCGTTGTGTCCCTGGGACACTTTACCCAAATTGCTCCTGTGGGGATTGCCCACAGTATTGAGTATGTAAGTCGCTTTGGATAAAAGCGTCTAACAAGTAACATGTCATGTAATGTGTATGGAACCCTTTAGGATAGGATGATCTAGACTGCTGGAAGTGAATTGCTGTCGCACAAGAACTTGAGTATCTTTTCAAGTTTTCAATCTCAGATAGCAGCACTTCATGTATTCTCATCGGACTACTCCCTTCTGTTATTGTTAACAACTCCTGTCAACATCTGGCTGTGTTCTGTACTGGAATACACAAGGTACCATGCTGTCAGTAGCAGTGAAGACTCTCACATGAATTATGACAAGTACTTCCTTAAAATCAGTTAAAGGCCCTGTGATTCCAGCTGTTTTGAGTGTTATGGTGTCACCTGTATGATTACTAGGTCTTCAAATAATAAACTATGGTTATACTTTTACATTACTTTACATTTTTACAAACTCAAACAGCAAGAATTCTGTAATCACATTAGCTTTCAATGAGCCGAACCATTGTAAGTGCTACTGCATTGGTTTCAAATAAGCCAAATCTTGCCAAAGCCAAAGTGCTACATATGGTATTGAAAGTGTTGTTTTTTTATTTGCCAATTAAGGTGAAGTTGAATCAGGAGGGTTTTCAGTCTGCGGCGGAAGATGTGTAGACTTTCCTGGTCAATGGGGAGCTCCTTCTGTAATTTTGGAGCCAAACACACAGTTGTGTTTTTGTTGTTGGGTACCTGGGTCCTACTCAAGGTGAGGAAGTAGCAAGCTGGAGCGAAGTGCAGCTGCTGGAGTGTATAGTTTAACCATGTTCTTGATGTAGGAAGGACCTGATCCATTCATGGCAATGTAGGCCGGTATCTTGAAGCGGATTCGGGTATCTAATGGTAACCAGTGAAGGGAGCAGAGAAGAGTTGTACTTTGGGAGAACTTGGGTAGATTACATACAAAACGGAAAACAAACCCATTCATGTTATCTTAGGCCCAGGTAAGAGTACAGACTTGGCTGCAAAAGTATCACAAATGGCATTGTCATAGATGTATTATTTTGGAAGGGGGTCAAAGGGGGTTCCAAGCACAGAGTTACAGGGGCACTGGACCCTGTTGGCCCTCCCACTAGAACCGCCCATGGTAGTTTGAAAACCTTTCCGTATACGGCATGCTGGATTAGCTGCAGAGCTCAGATAACACTTGTAGGTTGAACCGCCAGGAGGGAGTTGAACTAGTCAAGGCGTGAGATGACAAGAGCCTGACCCAGAACCTGTGTGGCATTCGAGGTCATTAAGGGACGTATCCTCCTGATGTTACTTGAGACTAATAAGAATGGAACGATATACAGGTAGAGAGACAGATACATAGAAAGATCAGACATTGAGGACAGCAATGCTGGACTGTATTAGCCACACTTATTTGATGTAACATTGTAGGAAGGACGCAGAGCCGGATTAGGACAAGATGCACTGACAGTCAGGGATATATATAGTCTGTCCCTGTGCAGCATAAACCCATTTTGTCAGATCTCATTGTGTCATGGATCTGTTTAAGTGTGCACATATTTTATCAAAGAGTAGTCAAATAACAGGCTAACGTCATTATTATTTCACCACCATTAGCCAGCTATATAATCTGACAAAACACTGCTTATATTCCAATGGCTGCCCAATTAGGTGCTCTGTCCAAGCCCAGAACTCAAGGCTTATCCGTACGTTTTTTTGTTTTGTAAAAGCATGACAAAAAACACGCTACTGTTACGGTGTGCAGGAAGCAGGACCCAAATGCAGATTTAAGTGACAAAATAATTCCTTTATTTCAAGGCTACAATATCCAGAGACAGAACAGAACACTCACCGCAGTTTACTCACAACACAAGACAACCCGACAAAGAGAGACAGAAAACCCAGAACTTAAATACACCCAGGACTAATCACATAAACACGAGACAGGTGAGGAGGGAGGAGAAAACACAGAGGTACCAGGTGAACACAATCGGGTAATCAGGGAGGGAAACAGACAGAAAGCAAACAGGCAGGAAACGGGGGTGAACACTTTACAAAATAAAACAGGAAACCCAACAGACAAGACAAGAAAAACACCAACACAGACAGATCCTAACAGCTACATTCCCTTTCATCACACACTCAGCCTGTTCAAAAATATGCAGTCTAATTAGACCCTCCAGAAAAACGCGATTATGCGATCGCATAATTTACCGCATAATCAGCAAAATGGCGCATATTTTTAAAAGGGCGCATATTTATTAAAAGGGCGCATAATCCCCGCATTTTTCCACACAAAATTGAGAAGAAAAAAAGTGAACTCGTCTTGACGTGAAGTGATGATGATGATGACGCGACGTCATCAGCTCGCGCATCACAGACGGTAAACAACACCGTAGAGTGAACGTGTGGAGCTCACACGAGAGAGAAAACACCAAGATGAAAAAATCTAATTCATCTCATTTACCAACGAACATTTCTGCTAAAGACCGGGCAAAGCAGTACCCCGATGTCTTGCATGAAAGTGGGGGGAAACTATTCTGCACCCCGTGCAACTGTGTGTTGGAGCCATAGGTTGGAGCAGTGCTTCTCAAACTTTTTTCAGTAATGTACCCCCTTTGAAACATTTTCTTAGCCAAGTACCCCCTGACCGACCCCGAACATTTTTGATCGAAAAAGCCTATACAAATAATTCCAATATAGTGATGTTCCCTCAGTGTGTGATTTATTAACTCCTTCATGCATGCATTACAACAAACTAAGGATATTTTCAATTTATGCATGAAAACAAATAACATAACAACATTTTTTTTAAACTGATTTTTCCAAGGAGTTTTTCAACTGAAGTAATATCTGTTTAACAAAGCAATGAACAAAATGATATATTATGCAAAACTATAAAATTCAATACACAAATTTGACTAAGATTATTTTTGTAATCATGCATGGTATTTTTTTAATTAACTTTTCTTTTTTTTTAAATCTCACATACCCCCTGCAGTACCCCAACGTACCCCTAGGGGTCCGCGTACCCCCATTTGAGAATCACTGGGTTGGAGCATAAGAGAAAATTGACGGTGACGACCCACTTTAATTCATTCAAACATTCGAAAAACGAAAATACTTTCTGCTGCTGCGGACAAGAAAGCCAAACAACTCACTTTCACCGAGGCATCAACCTCCAAAACCCTTTCGAGGGCTACAAGAAACGAGATGAGTAGCCTACAAGATTGAAGATGGTCAGATAACGAACGAGTTAATTAAAACAGAATGAGGCGGAGAAGTGTGTGTGTGTGTGTGTGTGTGTGTGTGTGTGTGTGTGTGTGTGTGTGTGTGTGTGTGTGTGTGTGTGTGTGTGTGTGTGTGTGTGTGTGTGTGTGTGTGTAGTGTGTGTGTGTGTGTGTTGTGTGTGTGTGTGTGTTGTGTGTGTGTGTGTGTGTGTGTGTGTGTGTGTTGTGTGTGTGTGTGTGTGTGTGTGTGTGTGTGTGTGTGTGTGTGTGTGTAAATAGTCCAATTGCTTTTACAATAAATAAACATTGAAGGTGTTTAATTGAATAGTAAAGGGGTTTAACGTTAGTGGGAGGTTGTGTGTGAGAGAGAATAAATAAGACAACCTCCCGCAATTCCACCGCATAAAATCACATAAAAACCCTGCATGTTTAATCGCATAATCAAGGATTTGTGCCCGCGTTTTTCTGGAGGGTCTATCTAATGGGCATATAGAGAAACAGTGGGGAGGTAGGGGGAGGGCTATCACTACCTGCACCCACACCCACTGCAGGGAAGATGAAGACTGATACAGATGCCCACTGAATTTGAAAGAAGCTACAATTCTTCGTTGATTGAGATCATGAAAAAGCTCCATATGTTTGTCTACAGACCTGAAACATAGGCAGCTAAACAAAATTATTAATTGATGTAAAAATGAATTGCTTTGCAATCCTGCATGACCAAAGGTAT